CAAGACGGAGTCTTGCTCTGTCACCCAGGCTGGAGTGCAATGGCATGATGTCGGCTCACTGCAACCTCCACCTCCTGGGTTCAAGCAGTTCTCCTGCGTCAGCCTCCTGAGTAGCTAGGATTACAGGCTTGCACCACCATGTCCTGCTAATTTTTGTGTTTTTAGTAGAGACGGGATTTCACCGTGTTGGCCAGGGTGGTCTCAAACTCCTGACCTCGTGATCTGCCCACCTTGGCCTCCTAAAGTGCTGGGCTTATAGGCATGAGTCACCACACCCAGCCAGGCCACTGTATTCTATACCAGCTGTATGAGAATAAGTAAGACTTAGTCCTTGACCTTAAGGAGTTCACAGACTAGCATAGTAATTGAGGTATACATGTAAATAATTAATTACAACAAAGATATTTGTTCTTGTTGGGCATGGAGAGATGGGGTGGGCCAAGCCCACAGGAGAACCTGGAGAGGGGCCTGGCAGACAGAACAGTACAAATGCATCACATAAGACACCAGTCTGTGCTGCCCTTATCTATCAGACATAAGAGGAATATCTAACTTCTGAACAGATCAAGTGACTACATTTAAAATATAATTCATTATCCTTCCCTGCCATAAGACAAACAAAACCTGCTTCTGTACATGTATTCCTTGACTGGTGACTGGCACTTCATTTTGTGCTGTCTCCCCAGACAGGAACATGGGAGGCTTCTCCTTCACTCCCTGTAGCCAATCGGTAGTCAAGAACTGTACATTTAACCTCTATCCCTCTTCTCTTCTCTATCCACTGCTATTGTTGCTGCCTCAGACAAGCCCTCAGGCTTGGACACTGCAGTAGTTTCCCAACTGGTCTCCCTAGATTGAGATCTGCCTCTTTCCAGTCCATTCTCGTATCAGTTTAGAACATAAGTGGCTTTACTTCCTGTAGGAAATGATCTAAACTCTTATGTATTGGTTAGGAGTGCTGACACGTAAGCAAGACTGCTTGGATTCAAACCCTGGCTTCATCACTTGATAGCTGCAGGCAGGTCATTTCACCTCTCACACCCTCAGTTCCTTCATCTGTAAAACAGGGATGGAAGTGGAATCTCCTTCATAGGGTTATTGTGAGGGTTGAGTTAATAGTGTACATGTGAAGTTGTTAACAATGCCTGGCACAAAATAAATACACAATGATTATGTTAATCATAGTGGGGCAGCGGGTTAATTCAGTATACATGTCAGGTAAATAAAGTCAACTAGAACTTACTTTGCCGTCTAAGGGCTAACAACCTGAAGCGGGGCAAAGAAGACGAAGAGATAAACAAATTGCTCCGTATGATCAATGCTGTTATAATTTTGAGCAGGGTACCAAAAAATCATTTGGGAATCAGAAAACTATAAAATCTTTTTATCAAAAAATGTTCTATTAAAACTTATTTTCTGGCTGGGTGCAGTGACTCACACCTATAATCCCAGCACTTTGAGAGACCGAGGTGGGAGGCTCACTTAAGTTCAGGAGTTTGAGACCAGCCAGGCCAGCGAAACCTGGTCTCTACTGAAAATACAAAAATTAGCCAGGCGTAGTAACCCGTAATCCTAGCTACTCAGGAGGCTGACTCAGGAGAATCGCTTGAACCCGGGAGGCGGAGGTTGCAGTGAGCTGAGATTGTGCCCCTGCACTCCAGCATGGGCAACAGAGTGAGACTCTGTTACATAGTAACTCAAGCCGGGAAATACAACTTAATACCTCCCAAACCACAAGTTTCTCATGCATGAAATTTGCATATTCATGATTTTGTTTCTAGACCTTTGCAGTAACCACAGGCAGTTTGGTTCTGGTATGTGTGAATATTTAGGTCCATTCTCTTAGGAATAATTTGAAAAAAGAGAAATTGAGCATTAGACATACAAAAGGGAAAAACAGATGAACCACAGAGGAATAATAGATTGCAATAAAGCCTTGGGGAAAAATAAGGAAAATTATGGAGATGAACTGTACTCTAGCGATTTTTGGACAATGTGGGCCATTGAGATTTGTATAAGAATTACTATGGGGTATCAGGGAGACTGAAGGACATTGGTAGAATACATATAAATACAAAGTAGCTTATAAATGTATAGATATAAATTCACAGCACCAAACATACATACTAAAGAAGAAACAGAGTTGGAGAAATGCCATTTGGTACAGGGAGCAGAATAGCATAGTGTTTGAGTTTAGGCTCAACTCGTAATGTTTAGGCTACTGACTAACATTTTGACTTTGAAAACTTAGTTAAGTTTTCTAAATATTAATTCTCTCATCTGGAAGATTGGATAATAAGATAATTAGAATTAATTAGGAAAATGTCCTAACACACTTTGCAGGTTGTTTGCAAATAGCAAGTAGCTGATAAATGTTAGTTATGCTGTTGATGATGATTATAAATACCATAGGCTTGTTTTCAGCAGTCAAACCAATAAATTTCTATATATCTCAATTAAATTTGTGGAAAGGATGTAATATAGTATTTGTTATTTCCTACATGGTAGGTAATATTTACTAATATTACCTTTATTTAGAATATGCTGCCTTTTGTAGCTATATACTAGTGGATGTAAAATACTATCATAGAGTTTCATAAGTATATTACTTATCTCTCTTTCCCCCATTCTGTTTTTCACATTTGAGTTTAAATTCCTATGAAAGTTAACCTACTACTAAAAAATATAACCTACAACTGAAGAACTGTAGAAATTCCAGAACTCCTTGATTTCATTACCTAATTTAATAAATACAGTAATTGATAACACCAGTTTTGTTAATAGTGCTTCTAAAGGGCTTATGTATTTTAAATAGTCTCCCTGCTGTCATGTATATCCTATGTGTTCTCACCTTATCTGATACTAATTTTGTGAACAAGGATAAACAGTTTGATTTAGCATACTTTAATGTGACTAGAGTATGTTTGAGTGATGTATTAGAAGCCCTCTTCTATGGGACATCTTCCTTCTCCAGCTCAGTTAAGTGACTCCCTCAACCCCTGCTCCTGTAAACCCTGTACATTCTCCATCTCTTTATATTTTTTACTTGTACCTTCAAACAGACTATGAGCAGTTTAACCTTGGTGGCAATGACCATATCATACAACATTGAGCATCCCAGTAGATAGTCAGTTGATTTTTGTTAAGTTAATGAATGAATGCTGCCCTCTTACATTGCTTATATAATCCTTTTTTTTTTTTTTTTTTTTTGAGACAGAGTCTTGCTGTGTCACCAGGCTGGAGTGCAGTGACGCAATCTCTGCTCACTGAAACCTCCACCTCCTGGATTCAAGCGATTCTCCTGCCTCAGCCTCCTGAGTAGCTAGGACTACAGGTGTGCACCACCACACCCAGCTTATTTTTGTATTTTTTTAGTAGAAACGGGGTTTCACCATGCTGGACAGGATGGTCTCAATCTCTTGACCTTGTGATCCACCCGCCTCTGCCTCCCAAAGTGCTGGGATTATAGGCATGAGCCACCACACTTGCATAATTCTTAAACCATGGTCACCAGTATACCAGTGACTGATTCAATTAATTCATTAATTAAGAATGCCTTTAAAAAGAAGATAAAGTAAGAAAAATAGGAAACTTTTTTTTTTTTAACGGAGTCTCGCCCTGTCACGCAGGTCGGAGTGCAATGGCGCCATCTAGGCTCACTGCAGCCTTTACCTCCCAGGTTCAAGCAACTCTTCTGCCTCAGCCTCCCCAGTAACTGGGATTACAGGCACACGCCACCAAACTCAGCTAATTTTTTGTATTTTTAGTAAAGACAGGGTTTCACCATGTTGGCCAGGCTGGTCTTGAACTCCTGACGTCGTGATCCTCCCACCTCGGCCTCCCAAAGTGCTGGGATTACAGGTGTGAGCCCCCGCACTTACATAATTCTTAAGCCATGGTCACCAGTGTACCAGTGACTGATTCAATTAATTCATAAATTAAGAATGCCTTTAAAAAGACGATAAAGAAAAGAGGAGGAAACTTTAATGGGAGAACTAATATTAACCTAATTCTAAAAATTTGTCTGTGGCATAGTTTTTGGGTCTTTCTTTCTGAAGAAAGTTCTTTTCTTTCTGAAGGTTGCCTGCCCTTCTGCAAATGCCAGAGGCCTTACCCTAGTTTGTTTTCCCCAGTTTCCTGATTACTAACTACTAAATAGCCTGTATAAGGTGACAGGTCTAGACGTCCACTCTGGCAGACTAAAGGGGGCTACTGTCACAACTGGCTGTGGTTTTAGGCCCTGAAATGAGAGACATAGACTTTACACACTTCAGCTCTTAAAGATACTGTAGATGATGTTAGGAACAGGCATAATATAGACAGGAAAAATGTTTACCACATCACATATGTCTAGTGATTGAGCAGTCATCTATGTTCACAGAAGCCTGAATACATACTTGTATAATAGGCAAATGATAAACATAAATCAACATAGAAAATTGCCATGAGGGCCACCCAGCACATACTGTGTCTACCCAGTGTGAGAGCTTTGTTCTTCTTTGTGACAAATAATCAAGAAACAGGAAAGAGTTTGCAGGTACGACGGGAAGCAGCTTAAAAGACAGGCCTGGCATCATCTGTAGCCTTAATGTATACCATTTACTTCCCTTGGTGTGATGATTCTCAGCCATAGGTCACAATTGAGCCTTAGAACCTTAACCCAGAGTGTTGCAGCCTTCCCCCTTGCAAGTACCCCAGGAATTGCTGCCATTGGCCAGCGTCCAAGAAGGCGGCTTGAACAGCTGCCCTGACAAATGGGTTTCCCCTATTCAAGCAAGCAAATGAGGAGTTTGAGCTGCTTTGCAATACTCCCTGCCTCTGGGCTGCAAACGCTGTTTAAAATAATAATAAAGTATCCTACTCTCTAGCACTATGTATTTTTCCTTTTGGAGACATGTAAATATCTTTAGGATGTTTTTAATGCAGGAGGTGGGAAATCATCCATATGAAGAGTTGGTTTCAGCTTTTCTTTCTTTTTTTTTTCTTTTGGTCTCTTCCAGACAGTAAGGATTGTATCCTGGAGCCGCTTTCCCTGCCAGAAAGTCCAGGTGGCACCACCACTTTAGAAGGTTCTCCATCTGTGCCTTGTATTTTCTGTGAAGAACATTTTCCTGTGGCTGAACAAGACAAACTTCTGAAGCACATGATTATTGAGCATAAGATTGTCATAGCTGATATCAAGTTGGTTGCTGATTTCCAAAGGTAAGTTTTGTTTTTGTCCTTAAAAGAATTAAATTTGACCAGGTGTGGTGGCTCATGTCTGTAATCCTAGTACTTTGGGAGGCCAAGGTGGAAGGATCACCTGAGGCCAGGAGTTCAAGATGCCAGCTCTAAAAAAAATTTTTTTAAATTAGCTGGGCTCAATGGCATGCACCTGTAGTTCCAGCTACTTGGGAGGTTGAGGCAGGAGGGCTGCTTGCACCCGGGAGTTCGAGGCTGCAGGGAGTTATGGTTATACCATTGCGCTCCAGCCTGGGTGACAGAATGAGACCCTGTCTCTTAAGAAAGAGAATTAAATGTATTGTTTATTAAAGGAGTGGCATAATCTATATATAAAATAATTCCTATACAAATATGAAAATTCATATTCATTTTCAGGTTTCTCCTTACACTTAAAAAAGAACGTTACAACTCTTTTGTACTTCTGAGACTTTTTTGTTTTTGTTTTTGTTTTTGTTTTTTGAGACAGAGTTTCACTGTTGTCAGCCAGACCAGAGTGCAGTGGCACGATCTCAGCTCATTGCAACCTCTGCCTCCCATGTTCAAATGATTCTCTTGCCTCAGCCTCCCAAGTAGCTGGGATTACAGGCACCTGCCACCATGCCCAGCTAATTTTTGTATTTTTAGTAGAGATAGAGTTTCACCATGTTGGCCAGGCCTGTCTCGAACTCTTGAGCTCAGGTGATCTGCCTGCCTCGGCCTCCCACAGTGCTGGGATTACAGTCATGAGCCACTGCGCCCAGCCAACTTCTTAGACTTTAAAAAAAATCTTTGCATTATTTTTCTTGCGTCTGTAAGTTTGAGAATGTCACATACTAATTTTGTTTGTTTGTTTTTTTTTTTTGAGACGGAGTCTCGCTGTGTCGCCCAGGCTGGAGTGCAGTGGCCGGATCTTGGCTCACTGCAAGCTCTGCCTCCCGGGTTTACACCATTCTCCTGCCTCAGCCTCCCGAGTAGCTGGGACTACAGGCACCCGCCACCTCGCCCAGCTAGTTTTTTGTATTTTTTAGTAGAGACGGGGTTTCACCGTGTTAGCCAGGATGGTCTCGATCTCCTGACCTCGTGATCCACCCATCTTGGCCTCCCAAAGTGCTGGGATTACAGGCTTGAGCCACTGCGCCCGGCCACTAATTTATTTTCTCTAAAGAGATGAACTTTCCAAAGAGTAGGTAATACCCGCTTTGCAGCATTCCATGACATTGTAGATTTTATTGATGTCTCCCAGATTATGTCTCATGTTTTAGGCCATAGACATTCTCTGAGTGGGTCCTTCCAGTAATTCCAGAATAGACTTGGCAACAGGACACTGAAAAGGCAGTGTTTGGGAATGGGATCCTTGGGTCCTTTCAGGCCGAAAGGATATTGCCCAAACAAATCTCAGTTTAAGTGTTGTGATGAGGTTGATTCCTTTTATCCCAATTTATAATATCTGGAAGTAGTTGTCAAAGAGAAATACCTTCCCTATACAGTTACTGAAAGCATTAAATTTGGTGTATCTGGTAACATCCCATTTTGAGGTATTCTGTCCTGATTTCCCCATAAAACATTGTAGTAGCCCAGACATTCAATACCCCTGCATCTAAACTCTGTTTCTCCCAGGCCATATAAAACACTCCTAGCAAACAACTTCTTTCTCACGATAGGTCTTGCAGAACAGCAAGCTGTATTATTAAGAGCTGACTATGAAAGTAGGCAACCTGGGGTTGAGTGCAGGCTTTCACACTTCCTAATCTTGTGATTTCCTGCAAGCTGCCTAACTACTCTAAGCATTGGTTTTTTCATCTATAAAATGAGGGTAACACCAGCCCTCACGGTTATTGAATATTACATAAAACAAAGTATGGAATGTGAGGGCGATCTGGCTGCGACATCTGTCACCCCATTAATCGCTAGGGTTAATTCGACTGATCTGGCTGGCTAAGTGGCTGTCCTCTTCCTCCTTCACCACTCCGTGTTCGTGCCTCTCAAAGCTGTGTTCTCAAAGAGGACAACCATTCCTGCTAGAAGAGGACCAGTCTTTGGTCAAGGTATATGAGTAGCTGCGCTTCCCTGCTGGAACCTCCAGACAAGCTCTCAAGTCCATTTGTAGGAGAACATAGGGTAGTCAAGCTTCCAAGATTCCAGACACATCCAAATGAGGTGCTGCATGTGGCAGTCTGCCTTTCTTTAAAAAAAAAAAAAGAAAGAAAAAGAAGAATAAGAGTATGTGTAGCATCTGCTAGTGCCTGAGACATAATGTGTACCTGATAAGTATTAGATAAAATGCAAAATTTTATTTGTATTTTTATTACCAAAGGTATATTTGAAATCTTAGTTTTCCACAACTATTGTTTGAGTCTTCTGTTTGTATTCATGCTAATCTAAAAACCTAATTATCATTTGTAAAATGTAGCTTTTGAGAAAATTTCATTCAAGGTTCTACATAATCTAAACTTTTGGAAGATGGTTTAAGTTGGTATAGCCAGCATACCCACAGAGGTAATGATAACCGTTCTCTAGCCTTCATCTTTGTCCTTATGTTCTTCCCGCTGCCTAGCACCAATACTGAATATTTACTGTGTGCCTTCTGTGTATGTTGCCTTATATCGACTCAGCACTACTATTTTTGAATACATTTTGGTGTTGCCTTATCAGGGAGCAGAGATAGGAGGAGAGTTAATTGAATGATATATGTTGCCAACTGGTAAAATAAACTAATTCCTTACATGCTTTCGTAGGACATACTCTCTGCTCCTCATTATCATTTGTTATTCTTTATTCTCAATTAAAATATATGTGTGTGTATGTCTTCATTCTCGGAGTATTCTGGGAGCTTTGTTATATATGCAACCCAGTTATATGTAGTTAGATCTGTTGATTTTGTTTGAGACACTTCTTAGGGTAGAGATCTTCTAATTCATACTCAACCACTGAAAGAAATATTACATGGGTTATTCTTTCCCAAGGCTTCTATTAGTCAGCTTTTCTTTAATGCAAAATCTTTATTTTTCTTTTTGAGTCCTGGCTGGAGTGCGGTGCCACAACCTCGGCTCAGTACAACCTCCGCCTCCCTGGCTCAAACAATCCTCCCACCTCAGCCTCCCGAGTAGCTGGGACTACAGGCCTGCACCACTACCCCTGGCTAATTTTTTATGTTTTTAAATTTTTATGGCTTCACCATGTTGCCCAGGCTGGTCTAGAACTCCTGGGCTCAAGTAATCCACCCACCTCGCCCTCCCAAAGTGTTGGGATTACAGGTGTGAGCCATCGTGCCTGGCCATGAAACTATTCTTTTATTCCCTTTTATCATATAAACACAAATTTTCCTTCAGGAATTGCAGAAGAATATTATTAACTACCAGTGGTAATTGAATAGTTTAAGATTTTTCTTTCTCCTCTGTCACTGAAGTATATGAGGAATGTCTGAATCAGAGTTTGTATTCTCCATTGTGCATATGTATCATAGTTAAGTAGCTCTATTTGTACTAATCAATCTGTCTATTTGTATCATTGTTACTAATGTCAGTGTCCTATTATCCATACGTGGGCAAGAAAATTGAATTATTTACTAGGTCTTGGGACTTAGGAGTCAGTAATTAAGTGTTGGGATTATTCATGCTTTAAATGCAGATATACAGTAAAATGGATGCTTTAATTAAAAAGAAAAGGATGCATATCTGATATAAGTACTTTCTTAAGCGTATCATTAACATGTATTTGAAATATGGATACCTAGATTTTCCTTGTCAGCTGTCCTTCTAATTAAGTAAAATTTGCACTCTCAGGAAGTAAAAATGTGATTAATTCTAATTGATCAGGCATGTATCTGAGTAAACTCTGTTGCTTTTAAATACCTTTGACTATATCCAGTCCTCTTTAGATAATAACCTCCTACTACTTAAGGAAACTAAAAATTCCTCTCCCAAACAATCCAAGTATTGATTGTTATGATCAAAATTAAGTTTGAATCTTCTCAATATCATGTAACTTGTTTCTAATTTTAGAAGACAAGATGTAAGGTATAGGGTTGGGAGGAGGGAACATGAGAGGTTCAGTTGGCATGAACACATTCACCCAGAACACAAGAGGAATTGTTACTTCTGAGTACATAAGTAATAAAAGTGATAATAAGAGATGGCCTTACCTGGTGGTTTGCAAGAAGTAAGCTATAAATTTTCATGCTATATTTGTTTATTTATGAAACAAAATAACAATAAAACTTCCTGGGGCAGAAGAAATAAAAACAAAAATAAAAATCTTTCCATTGAGTCCATTTAACATAGTTATTTATACTGAGCTATTTGCTAGCTTTATTCAGTAGATAAAATTGCTCTGGAAAATAAATGTTAACCTCTTATTTCTTACCCTTTTTTATATTAAATTCCACACATTCACTGCTACTTAATTAACAACCATATTTCAAACCTTTTTGCCTATGTCAATAACCATACCAATTGCAGTGGGGCTGGGCAGGCAAGATATTGCAACAGAATTTTTTGTGAGACAATTCCATGAGATGATTTGAAGTTTCTTTGGAAGGAAAAAAGTATTTGCTGATGACCTAGTAATTATTTTTATGGATTTTTAATGAAGTGTGAAATACTTTGATAACTTATCCAAATAGAGTTCCTACCACATGTTATTTCTTAGTGGCCTTTATATATTGAGTAGCTGCAATTGTAGCTTTCAGTAAACTAGAGAAGTAGGAAAAATACAGAAGAGAAGTACTAAGTGATCTCTTAAATTTGAACAATATGTTCTAGTGAGTGGGAAAAAATGCCACAAGAAGCATGTACTGAAGATCTGCTATCTTTATGCTGTCACTCAGTTGATTACAATTTATCTGAATGCCCATACCATCCGAAAGGAAACGTATATATTGACACTTCTTAATTATAAGCTTAAAAACCACTATTATGTGTTTAATGACTAGGATGTTTCTTTACTCAAATTTAGACGTAGGTCAAAATATATGTTGTTGTTGATGTCTATAGTATACCACAGTAAGATATGATGCCTAATTTTACGTTTAATTTGTATGGTGGTTTATGGTTATATTTTACTTTGTAACAGATTTTTTTTTTCTGATGTTGTTGTCACCCAAGTTTTGGTTAGGAAGAGACCACTCAAATGACAACATTGTTCCTCTTGTACTAACCTATTACCTGCTTTATCCCATGGGAAACACTTCCTATTTGAGGAGGGCAACTGAGGTTCTGCTAGACAGAATCTCCCCGTGATTTTAAGTCAGTTGATGTCAGTAATTTCTTCCCTTGTGCATATCACCTTGAAGTAAACTCTGATGGAAAATAAGTATGTCATGTGATTCTTCTCTTCAGACATTAAAGAGACAGTACTCAAACATAGAAGTTTTTGGAGACTGAGACCCACTGACTATTGGAATCAGGCTCCTGTTACCTCTGTAGAGGAACTTCTCTGCACCCTTTCCTACCTGGTTAAGCAATTCCAAAACAGCCCCAAACATCTGGTGTCAATTTTCAGCCCTTAGGTAGCAATTTAGGAGCAGTTCAGTCTGAGGGCTGCTGTTAAGTAGTATGCCTTTCGGAAAGGGAAAACATTCTCTTTCTCTTCAGACTTCATTTCTGTACTTCTGGTTCTGCCTTGTGGAAAAGCATTCTATGTGACCTCATTGGTCTCTGAGGGGAAAAAATGCTTCAAGTCTCTATTACAACTTTAATTGTAGGGGCTCTTTCCTGTCCCTGCCTTCTCTTTTCTGCATTTCTTGTACTGATTTGTCCCGACATGACACTAGAGGAGCTGTGTTGTAGAAGACTGAGTTTGGCCTTGGAGTCAGAGAGACAAAGTTCACATCTCAATTCTAACATTTTAATTGACCTTGGGCAAGTAAGGACTCATTAAATAGTAGCTGCTAATAATTGTCATTATTGTCACTATCATCATTCTTCTCTTCTACCACGTTAGCCACCTATATGTGCCCTCTGATACTATTAATATAACTATTTTGTCTTTTTCATCAAATGTTTGCTAAAATGTTATTGTTTTTGTTGTGTGTCTCATTATTTCACTGGGATAAACATAAATTCTTCACTACCTTAGTCTTATTTAAATATGTTACTTTTTCTTATAGTAATAATTGTCATATATTAAACACCCAGAATTTTGGACAGTGTGCTTTACATGCATTATTCTATTTAATTATCAACAATTTATTTTGCATATGAATAAACTGAGTTTCAGAAAGATTAAATAACTTTAAATTCAGGTTCATGCCTTTGAATTCAAAGTCCTTGCTTCTCTATTCACCATTGCCTGCCTCTGGGGTGGTAATTAATACATCAACTATGACATTTTGACCACTGTCTTAATTTAAAAAGCAAAACTGCTTCTAGCATAAGATCTGTGCAGATAAGCAAGGAACAGTATTGATTGTCCATTAAGAAAAAAGAAAGTCATTGGCCAGGCACGGTGTCTCTCACCTGTAATCCCAGCACTTTGGGAGGCCAAGGCGGGCAGATAGCTTGAGCTCATGAGTTCAAGGCTCGCCTGGGCAACATGGCAAAACCCCATCTCTACAAAAAGGAAAATTAGTTGGGTGTCGTGGTGCGTGCCTATAGTCCCAGCTACTGGGGAGGCTGAGGTGGGAGGATGTCTTGATCCCAGGAGGCAGAGATTGCAGAGAGCTGAGATCACTCTATTGCACTCCAGCCTGGGCAATAGAGCCAGATCTTATCTCAAAAAAAAAAAAAAAGTCTTTAATAATTCAAAGAGCAGTCTGTTCACGAGGATCCAAGCTCTTATCTGGTCATCTGTTCCACATGGTTTACACAGATACTTTTCTAAGACTGTGAACATTTTCCAAAGTAAAGTAGTCTATGTATTCAAGGAATTATCACTGCCTTTCAACAGGCTCTAGACCCAAAATGGAACCAGTTATATAGGACTGACCACTATTCTCCGTTTTGTCTAGAAGATACCATCCAGATAGTTCTCAATGGAGTGGCAACCAGGACTGACGATCCTCCCCTTGGTGTATTCAAGCAATAGCCATAAGGAACCTCCAGAGGGAACTTGGCCTTCCTATCTTTTGAAGACAGTTGTCTTAGCACCTGGTTCTGCCATGTATAAATTTGAAAATAGATGTCTATATTTCAGTTTCGAAGAATAATCCATCTTCTCTTCCTGGCATCTCTAATACAGGTTATACTGTGTTCCTTCATCCCTGTCACCACTTTGTAATGGAAAATGTGCTGAGGGGGGAATAAGAAAAGGACTAGGAATTTCATTTTTATTCTCTTAAGCCTCCTCTTGTCTTCTCTTTCCCCTTTTTTCCTCTCTACCATGGGGTGGTGGGGAAAGCAACTAGTAAGGAATGGAAAGATAGAGACTAGGAGTAGCCATGTAGGAGACTGAGGAGTACAAGGTGTTGAAGCTGGCTCAGGATGGCTAAGGAAATAATGTCCCAGCCTTTTGTAGGTACTTTTTCTCTATTTATCTGCTGTGATGGATCCAATATGCACTTGCCTACTTCTGAGATTTCTAATATGGAAGCCAGTGAGTTAGCCAAAGATTAGGGTACATCATTTATGTATTTGTGGTTTAAGGCTCAATGGGAGCTTAAGATTGCCATTTTAAGATCTCTTAGAATAAAAGTTAGCACTGTTTTATAAGGAAAGGGTTCACCCCTTACCCATCAAAGTTAACAGTATGGTTGTACCAGAGAAGAAAAACTTAAACATGGGATTCTATTTTTATACACTATTCATTAACTTCTTTTTCTTACATATTCTATATTCGTTCAGTGTATTTTTATTTGATGTCAGCTCATGTCATGTTTCTCTCTTTCTCCCAGACCGCTCTGTAGCACAGACTTCTAATACACAAATGCCCTTTCCATAGAGCACCATGGTATTGGAAAATTAATGTTAAGAAAAAAATTAATAACAAAAAGGAGACAAAATATTGGGAATTGGGGACTACTTAGAGAACTTTACAGGAATCTTCAAACTCTCTACTTCTTTAAAACATTTACTGTGGACCTACTATATCCAAAACATTCCTAGATGTGCTACGTCAAGCCATTTAAAATGTCCAAATTTCTACTCTTTCCATATTCTTCATCTACTTCAATAAGTCCCATTTCTTTTTTTTTTTTTTTGGTTCTTTGGTGTAAGTTACTTGTTTTATCCCTCAGTTGTGTGACCTGATAAATTGGGAACTATAGAGTCAACCTTTCCTTTTCCTTTCTCTCTATGAAAATAACACTGTCTTCCCGGTACCATTCAATAAATGAGACTGCAATTGCCAATATAAATCTTGTTAGATAAATGGAAAGATGAACCACTTGTTAAATCCTGTCATCTTACTCTCTCTTTCATCACATATGTAGGTCTGGGTGTTAGGCTTTGGTTTTTAATTTAGCTGGTGTGCTGCTTCTAACTCTGCTCATTAGATACAAAAATTGTAAGTTGGGCTATTTTTCCAAAGTCTAAATTTGCCTCATTTCAGACTCAGTGTGGACATATGGAACTTTTCTATCTTATGTTATATTGATATTGATTTTAGACTGATTTCTTACTGCATTATTTTTCTGACCTCTGTTCTTTGGATATATAAGATAACCACTCAGTTTTCTCTTTATTGCAGAGTGTGTGTCATAGCCTATTTAATCATTATTGCATTTTAAAGACATATAAACTTAGATGCTATTTCAGAAAAATTCATTATCACATAAAAATATTTCATTTTAACTTTCCTATATGTCTGTTTATTGAATTTGGGGATAGTAAAGTTTAGTCGTTTTCATGCCCTTACATGGTAATTCCTTTTTATTAAATCTTTATTTGATACTTCTATAATGCTCCACTGCCTTTGTATTCACAAAAAACTGCTAGAAAAGCTGTTTTAAGTTCACATTTGATTTGATGCTTTGGGATAATTGAATGTGCTTATAGATTCCTGTCATTCTAAAGCAAATAGTGTATTGAATCTTCTCATCATTTCTTATTTTGTATTGTTCTAAGGTACATTTTATATTGGAGGAAAAGGTTCACTGAACAGCCTATCACAGATTTTTGTAGTGTGATAAGAATTAATTCCACGGCTCCATTTGGTAAGTGTACATCCTGGCTACCATCTTTTCCCTACAGTATAAAAATTCAAAGGAATAATCTTACTGTCTTATATTAGAATTGCTTTTACTTTCATGATAGATAAAATTAAATTGATGTGTTTATTTTGCCTAACTCGAATAAAACTAAAACAGTTCTTTGCCAAAGAGATCCTAATAGACACACACATCTGTAATTTTTACGAAATAAGTCCTTCTGGGAAAAAAATAGTAAATATCTTTTGTCTGATTTGTTTTCCTGATCTCTCAACAGAAGAACAAGAGAATTATTTTTTGTTATGTGACGTTTTACCAGAAGACAGAATTCTTAGAGAAGAGCTTCAGAAGCAGAGACTGGTAAGAATTGTTTTTAAAGGGTGAATAGTGTCTTGAAAATACATATAAATACATATAAAATCATATTTTTTCTTCTTTTTTTTTTTACTTTTTGTTATGGAAACTTTCACACATAGGTAAAAGAGGAGACAATACAAAAAGGTCTTAAAACAGAAAAAAGTATACACTTGACTGAAAATTAAAACATTTTATGTTGAAAATGCAGAGAGAATTTTTGGCTTTGTTTTGCTTCCTGGATTATCTCTAAAATAACAACAGAACTTACACATTTTAGTGTAATTTTAGCTGCCTGACACATGCTAGGGTTCAGTAGTCGTGGAAAAATGCCCTCAGCTAAAATTGAGTTGAATTGATTAACCTTTTTTTCTCCCCTTCACTGGAATGTGCTATGCACTAGCGTTTTTTAAATTTCCCTTTATGAATTAAGCATATGGTTTAATCTACATAGTAGCCTTTCTGGTTTTCAGCCTTAACCATAAGCAAGCTGATTTGAAAACCTCAGCATCTTTAACCTTTAAAAAAGATGATAGCACATACAAGCATGAAAATTTTTATTTTATTTTATTTTATTTATTTTATTTATTTATTTATTTATTTTTTGAGACGGAGCCTCACTATGTTGCCCAGGCTGAAGTGCAGTGGCGCGATCTCGGCTCACTGCAAGCTCCGCTTCATGGGTTCATGCCATTCTTCTGCCTCAGCCTCCCGAGTAACTGGGATTACAGGTACCTGCACCCCCCCCGGCTAATTTTTTGTATTTTCAGTAGAAACGGGGTTTCACCATGTTAGCAAGGATGGTCTCGATCTCCTGACCTTGTCATCCGCCCGCCTCGGCCTCCCAAAGTGCTAGGATTACAGGCGTGAGCCACCATGCCCAGCCGAAAATTTTTATTTTCATTAGTTCATCAGAAAATAATGTTTTTAATTGTTAATTTTGTTTAAAAGCACATGGGTTCTCATCATTTGTGATTTAATCTCGACTATTACTTGAGGTTGACTTGCTGTTCCTTTAGTGATTTCTCATAAATCTTTTTTGTATCTTTGGGCTTGGCTAAATATGTTATAAGAGAGAGATGATTTAAATATTTGTGCTATATCCTCAAGAGATCTAGGAGAAAAATAAATACTATTTACCATAGTCATATAATTTAAGAAAGTCCCTGGAAACACATTTTATTTTGTAGACATCCCAAATGATTTTTTCTTCCAGTATGGGAAGGTGATACCAATGGATACTGATTTATATGTAAGAAAAGTTATGCTTTTCCTGTACAACAACAGCAGTAAAGAAATAGGACTTCCTGAGTTTCTCTTCTCTCCTTACAGCAGTGTCTTATGAAATATGTAAAACAAGGGTAAATGTACTATCATGTCTTATGAATGTTATTTGTGTGCACTTATTCATAATTTTCAATTTACATGAATTTTCTCACTGTTGCTAACCGTGGCCTTAAGAATGATCAAAAGCCGTCAAGGATTGATTTATAAGAACTCAAACCCTACTACTTCAGCCATTCTTGTTCTTTAGCATGCAGAATCTTTACCATATGTCTGTAGATGGACTTAGGTCTCTAAAAATACCTACATATACTGCATTTAAGTTACCTTTTTTACTTTACAGTTTGATAAAGCAATACATTTAATAAAAGTGAGCATTATGCCAGCTTACAGAAACAAAATAAGAATAAAAAGGCAATTAATCCATACATGTTCATTGAATTTCTGCTTAAGTAGATGCCTGTACAAAGAAGTACAGGAGTACAAGGCATAGTCCATATCATACAAGAGTGTATAGTCTGGAGAAGAAAGATAAATATGTATTCTTATCTTGGTAGTAGAGATAATGATAAAATATCTTGCCGGGCTTATGAAGATTAAGTGACATGTAATACACTTAGAACACTGCCTGGCACACAGAAGGCACTTAACAAATATTAGCCAATAAAAATAATAGTAATAATGCTGTGTCTTAACAATGAGAAGGATTTGAATAGTTAAGAGAGTTGTAGAGAAGGGAAGAAATACATATGCATCTAAATGTTCAAGGTGTATTCAGAAAAATTGAGTAACAGTCTGCTCTGGCTTAGGTGGAACATTTTTTATGGGGAGTAGTATAAGATAAATTTGAAGAGGTAAAATGGAGCTAAATTGTGGAAATCCTTCAGTGCCAGGAACTTGACTTTGTAGTAATAAAGACCCATTAATGTACCCTCATTGCCCATCAGTGGCATGAAGAAAAGAGTAAATGTAACTGTGTATAAATCCATTTCAAGCTGTCAAACCCTGAGAAAGATCAGACCAACTTGGGGATTGGAAGTAAGCTAACAATGACTGATGATCAGCCACAAGCCATGCCTTGTATTTGGTTCTTGCTTCATAGCACCCTGTGAGGTGGCTATTAAATGCCATTCTATTTATGAGTAAAATGTGGCATAGGAAGCTTAATTTGCCCAGGAACACATAGTGAATGAGGTGCAGAGCTAGAGTTTCAAACCAAATGTTCCAGATACATGCCTTTTAAGCCATGCCATGCCAGCATAGTAATTATTTGGCCCCTCACGTGTCTGGTACTATTATTCTAGGCTCTGGGAATCTCTCTGTCCCGGGTGCTCATGGTCTGACAAGTCTGTGTAGGGAGGGGATTCAGGCTTGGATTGAAGTTTAGGGAAAGCAGAAGCAGTTTACAATAGCCCGCCACTGGAATTCTGATTAGAGGATCAACAAAAAGTAAAAAAGGCTTGCCAAGCAGCAGGAAGACAGGCTGAATTTGCCATCAGTCAGTTCATCACAGTTTTATGCTACATAACATGGAAGCATGAGGTCAGTGTGGGTGATTCTTCTGTGGTTGTTAGCAATGATTATAGGATCTATCTCTTTTACATAGAAAGAACTTTACAAATCAGTAAGAAGCATGTCCAGAAAGAAGTCTAAATCATTAAATGAAACAAAAGTAACAGTATACTTTTTCTTATTCTGTCAAGTTAACAGGATTTGAAAATAATAGTACTAAATGGTGGCAAGAATGTTAAGAGGCAAGTACTTTTTCAGCTGCTTTTAAGAATGTAAACTGGTATACCATTTCTGAGAGGCGCTTTCTCATCATGCGTTGGAGCTCTTGAAGATGTTTATGCCCTTGGCCCACAGTGTGCAAGAACTCATCCTAGGAAGATTACACAGCCAGAGGGTTTTGAAGTCCCTCACTCTACCACAGCTTGGTGGTTGTTTCCTTATGTTGCTACTACTTATACTTTATCAAACAATTTTTTATCAATGAGAATTTCAGTCTAGTTTCTAAAACATGTAATTTAAACTAATCAAACTGCTTTATGATAATGGATGTATAATGTAGTCAGTGTTTGAGTGACCCCAGCTCAATATTTCAACTCAAGGACCTTGAATTGAGGATCTTGAGAATCTCAACTTGAGGATCTCAACTCAAGTCCACGAGGAAGAACCCTCAAACTAGAGTATTAGTAGGGCATTTGCTGACTTGATTTGCATTAATGATGATTTGCATATGTATTATTCTTCAATATTTATTCTTTCATGTGGAACTCTAAGTAAAAGGCATATAGTTTAAGTATCTTTGTATGGTTTGCTCTTAGTTCAAAATGACTTTGTAACTTCAGGGCAGAAACTGTGTCGTATATGTAAGCATCCTTCCTAGTCCTCCCTGTACTCCTAAGTTCATATTGTTATTTTTCCCCAAACCTCATTTTAAACAAACAAACAAAACTCTGTTTTCTGTGTGAGTGGCTGGAGGTATATAGAGTTTAAATGATTCACTGAAAGTTACAGTAGCAGATTTTATGCTAGAACCATATTTCTTTTTCCACTTTCTTTGAGATTTCACTGGTTTCTTGACATTTACAAGATTTGTATGTGTTCCCAGTTTTCTTTTTGAAGAGCTTGATTCCTACTTGACACTTCTTTGAACATTTTCATCCATATTCTGAAGGGAACTACAGAATTAGGAAGATTCTCAAGGATTTCAATAGCTTATACACCTACTTCCCTTTGGCTTCCTTTAAAAATTCTCCCTTGATCTTGGTGCATTATTCTCTTATTTCTCATCAGTCTAGCTTAGTCTCATCCAGTGGTTCTTTTCCCTCTTTTCTCTTAAATATGCGTTCGTATGTTCCCCAAGATCTTATCCCCAGTTCAGGGCATGCACATCCGTGTAGCTACCACTGTTATGCCTGTGGCTTAAATGTTAGTGCTGGTGCAGAGCAGGCAGTCAGAGTAAATATTCATTAATTGAGTTCATTCATAGCTTTCATCCTGGCTCACTTCTGAACCCCAAATCTATATTTCCTCATATGAAACTTTTCCATTTGGATTTCCAGTCCGCACTTTAATATGCCTAAAAATAGAACTTATTTTTTTCCTCCCCCAAAACTTGCTATTTGCCTGTTCTCTTTTTATTACATAATGACACCACCATTCTCCTGGTCACTCTGTTTGGAAATCTCTAGAAGCATATTTAATTGATTCTTTTTTTTCTCACTCCTATAGCTAAGTCATTTGTCAAATCTTACTAGGTCCAGCTGAGTCCCAAGTCCCACGTCCATACTCATACTTACCTTGTCTATAGACTCACCTCTTCAGGCAATTGACACTGCCTCCAGAATGTTAATATTAAATGATTATTAAAATTAATTAATATTACTATTAATTGATTCATAGTAGTTGATTATTATCTATTAATATTAATAAATAACATAAATGACTTTATTCTTTTTTTTTCTGACAAGATCTCCCTCTGTCACCCAGGCTGGAGTGCAGTGGCTCACTGCAACCTCTGCTTCCTGGGGTCAAGTGATCCTTTTGTAGCAATGGCATCTCACTATATTGCCCAGGTTGGTCTCGAACTCCTAGGTTCAAGGGATCCTCCCGCCTCAGCCTCCCAAAGTGCTGGAATTACAAGAGCAATCCATTGTGCCTGGCCCTATTCTCTTCTTCAAAAACCTGCACTGTTCTTTATTGTCTTCATGTTCTTA